TGGGCAACTCGGTGACCTCCTGTTTCAAAATAAAAAAGTGCTGGGGATGTAGGTCAGTGGGAAAGTTCTTGCCTAGCATGCCTGGAGTCCTTCGTTCAATCCTCCGAGGAGGGAGGGGAAATAAAAGTTTATATTGAATATGGACCTTAAAGATAAGCACTTCCTCACATGAATTAAAATCTTATTTATCAGAGCACCAACTTTTTGTTTGTAAAAATGGAAGGATATAAACATCTTAACATATTTAAGATAACCTATACTGGCCAAAATAAAATGAGAATTTTTCTTTGATTGTATTAAGATTTTCTAACTCTGAGCTGTAAAACAACTAAACATCACAATCACTTTTTTTAATATGCACAGTTCTTACTGTGGCGAAAAAAAAAAAAACTCCACACATAATATTAGAAGGTCTTAGCTTAGATCTCCCACCTTATCATACAAATTTCCTGGATTTCTTTTGTCATCCTCATCACTGCTGTCCTCCACAGGTGGATTTTCCCTTTTCATGTCATCCCCCAAATAGTGCTCAAAAACATTTGAGAAGGCAATTGCAGACAGCATACAGACGACTGGAGTCAAAGTCAACATCAGCCTCACCATCACTCCAGCAAAGTAGACAGCACTGATTGCATACAGAGCAACTGCAAAGACAAGTTCTCTTACAAATATGCCAGGGAAAAAAAGTACAGGAAATGGGAGATATGCAAGACTCCAATATAACATAAATTTAAAAGTAGACAAATGTTTCATAAAAGACATTTCTAAATTGTTAATACTGACTGACTGATCAGCAGTCTTATTTAAAATTGTAAATAGCGTTAACTAAATAAAAATTACATACTAATAATTTTTAAAAGTATGACTCAAATTTAATTAATTTTAGTTATAGCAAATTAGACTTCATTTATTATCTGTTCATGATTTTATATTATAAAATCCACAGCTGACACATGAAAATATATTTGTGTACTGAATCATTAAGCCCATGCCAATATTCAGTTTAAAGCCTGTCTTAAAGGAAAAACAGGAGGAACATTAAGTTATTTATCAGTGGCATAACCTGTAAAGTCA